TTTGATCAAAGAACAAACTGTGCTTCATACTTGGGCAAAATCTCACAAGAATGCAAATTATATTATTTCTGCTCAAATTCCACACTCATGTGAGAAAATTCTTGGGGGTAATTTTGCAGAAGCTGAAAAAGTTTTTAAATCACAAGAAAAGGAATCTGAATTTCATTCCATGAATGAGATGAAAAACAATTTCAAAAATAAGTTTGTCAGTAACTCTTTTATTAATCAGAGTTTAATTGATGAATATTGTGTTACTAACTCTAATGGTGTTACTGAGTGTAATGTTAAAATTACCGGAATTGATCCAACCTCTTACCCTGCACATCTTGTAAGACCAACTCCTCTCACTGAGAATATTATTGCTTTTCCTATCTCAAATGGAGTGTTTCATGCTGTTCATGAACAACTTAAGCATTTTCCTGATTGCAATTCAATTGTGAATAAGTCCAAATCAGACACTAATGATAGCTCATCATCTATCACTGATCATAATTTGTCTGACACTGAATTCAGTTGTGATTCAACAATAAACAAAAGGACACAAAGCTCTCTTGGTGAATCTTACAAGTCAAAATGTGTTAAGTCCAAAAAATTGCTTACCAAGAGGAACTTTGGTACTAGAGTTTGTTACAGATGTGGTGATACCTCTCATAATATCAGTGAATGTTCATTTGATTAATCATCTTTAAGAGCTTATAATATTAAAGTTACAAATGAAAAATGGACTCTTAAGTCAAATTCTTTAAACTGTCTTCCTAAGGAGTGTTATAATCTATTATCAAATTACTTTGTGAATGACCCATCCTCGAATGGGTCAGTATGTTCTAACTAGTTTCTCAGCACTGCAGGGTCAAGAGCATCTTTGGTACTTAGATAGTGGTTGCTCAAGACATATGACAGGATCAAAGTCTCTCCTGGAGGATTATGTCAAGAAAACTGGTCCTGCAGTAACTTATGGAGACAATGGAAAGGGGTTCACTAAAGGATATGGAAATATCAAATGCAATAACGTGTTTTTTCAAAATGTTTCATATGTAAAGGGTCTCAAACACAACCTTATCTCCATCAGTCAATTGTGTGATGCTGACTATGAAGTTCACTTTACAAAGAAGGAAGGTAGAGTTGTCAACACTGACAAGAACATCGTACTTTCAACAAGTAGAAAAGATGATACATATATATATATATATATATATATATATATATATATATATATATATATATATATGTTCCTGATATGTTCTCAAGTGACAAGGCGCTGATGCAATGCTTCTTCACAAAGTCTCAGACCAATCTTAGCTGGATTTGGCACAAAAGGTTCTCTCATCTGAACTTCAAGAACCTATCCAAAATATCCAATCAAGATCTAGTTAGAGGGCTCCCAAAATTCAGCGTTGTGAAAGACAAGATGTGCTCAGCTTGTGAACAAGGAAAACAAACCAAGTCCTCGTTCAAACCCATGTCATGTTCCAGTATATCAGTCCCTCTTCATTTACTCCACATGGACTTGTTTGGACCTATTCTTGTCCGTTCTCTAGGTGGAAATAAGTATACTCTAGTGGTTGTGGATGAGTTCACTCGATTTACATGGGTGGTCTTCCTGAAGAAGAAAAGTCATGCTGCACAAGAAATTATCTCACTGATTCGCAAAAATGAGACACTGACAGGTCTCAAAGTTAAGCAACTGAGAAGTGATCATGGTACTGAGTTCCGAAATTCAACTCTTGAAGAATTTTGTGATCATAAAGGCATTGGGCAAAACTTCTTAGCTTCTCGTACTCCTCAACAAAATGGAGTTGCTGAACGAAGAAATAGAACACTGATTGAAGCAGGAAGGACCCTAATGATTCATGCTGGTCTTCCCATGTCGTTTTGGGCTGAAGCTGTCAATACAACGTGCTTTACTCAGAATCGATCTTTAATTCACAGGATTCATAAGAAAACACCATATGAAATGCTGAAAAGTCGAAAGCCAGACGTATCCTTCTTTCACATGTTCGGATGTATTTGTTATATTCTAAATCAGCGTGACCCAAGATCTAAATTTGAACCTAAAGCTGATAAAGGTATTTTTGTTGGATACTCATCTGTTTCAAAGGCTTTTCGTGTTTTTCATGTGAACAGGCAATGCATTGAAGAATCCATTCATGTGAAGTTTAATGAAGAATCATACACTGATGAAAAAGTCACTCATTCTTCCTCTATTTTTCGAGAGATTCTCTCTTGTCCATTTGACGAAGTTCCTCTTGCTGGAGATGAAACTGATATTTCTGATTCTATCGTTCCAGTTCCATGTTCCTTGAATCAAGATACTGCAGCCAGATCATTAAATAATTCGTCAGGTGCTGATGAAACCCTTGATGCTGAAGATTCTCCTGCAACTGATAACTTGTCAGTGTCAAATTCTCCAGAATCAGCATCAGTCTCTGAACATCGATATCATCCTGTTAATCAAATTATTGGGAATATTCATGATGGTGTCCGAACCAGATCTCGTGCATCTAATAACTTTTGCATGCATGTTAATTTCGTTTCAATGATCTTACCTGACAAGATACACACAACTCTTCAAGATGCTGACTGGATTAAAGCCATGCAAGAAGAACTGAATGAGTTTGAAAGGCACAAAGTTTGGACTCTTGTCCCAAGACCATCAGGAAAGACCATCACCGGAACTCGCTGGGTCTATCGCAACAAGGTTGATAAAGATGGAATCATTACTCGCAACAAGGCAAGGCTTGTCGCTCAAGGGTTTACTCAAATTGAATCCATCAACTACGGAGAAACCTTTGCTCCAGTTGCTCGCATTGAAGCGATCAGACTGTTTCTCGCATACGCATCCTACATGAATTTCATTGTCTATTAGATGGATGTGAAAACAACCTTTCTTCATGGTGTGTTAGAAGAAGAAGTTTTCCTCAATCAGCCCCCAGGCTTTGTTGACAAAGATCACCCTGATTATGTGTACCGATTAGACAAAGCTGTTTATGGACTGAAGCAAGCACCCAGGGCTTGGTATGAGATGCTGACATCGTATCTTCTTGAAAATGGATACAAACGAGGAGCCATCAACAATACTCTCTTCATAAAAAACAAAGGCTCAGACATGGTTCTTGTTCAAATCTATGTCGATGACATCATTTTTGGCTCTCCAAATGAGACACTGAGCAAGGAATTTGCAGAGATCATGTCTCAAAGGTTCGAAATGAGCATGATGGGAAAGATGACCATTTTCTTAGGTCTTGAAGTTCAACAACAAAAGTCAGGTATTTCTATTTGTCAAAGTAAGTATATTTCTGACTTGCTTGTTAAGTATTCTCTTAGTGACTGCAAACCAACCTCTACTCCAGTTTCCAAGACTGACAAGATTCACGCTGATCCAACTGGAACTGATGTCAATCACTCTCTGTATCGAGGAATGATTGGATTTCTTTTATATCTCATGGAAAGTCGTCCTGACATCATGTTTAGAACCATTCTCTGTGCTCGATTGCAAGCTAATCCCAAGGAATCCTATCTCATGGCCATCAAACGTATCTTTCGATACATAAAAGGAACTCAAAATCTAGCACTGTGGTATCCTCGCGACTCAGCATTCGAACTTTTTGGATACACTGATTCAGACTATGCAGGATGCAACTTAGACAAAAAAAAGTACGTCTGGTGGATGTCACTTCCTTGGAAATCGTCTCATCAGGTGGTCTAGCAAGAAGCAAACATCAGTAGCCATCTCGACTGCAGAAGCTGAGTATGTTGCAGCTGGGAGATGTTGTGCTCAGCTCTTATGGATTCAAAATCAGCTTCTCGACTATGGGATCAAGTTCTCAAAGACTCCCATATATTGTGATAACACCGGTGCCATTCAAATCACACAAAACCCTGTTCAGCACTCAAAAATGAAGCATATCGAAATCACACATCATTTCATCAGAGATAACGTTGAGAAGGGAAAGATTGTTCTTGAACATGTCAAGACTTCAAAGCAACTTGCTGATATCTTCACTAAGGCACTGGATTCTCAAACAACTGCTTATATTATTGGAGAACTTGGAATGATTACTTTGTAATTAATTTTGCTGACTAATTTTGCTAATGTTTGGTATTGTCTTATAAGCTGATGTATATTTTGCTGATGATATTTGCATACTAAGTACTTGGTTTGATCTCCTATCTTTCTCTCTTCTTCAAATCTTCTCAACTAAAGTTGAATGATTCACTGTATTAAACCATACACTAATAACAACTTGAAACTCTTCGCCGATGGTTAGATCAAAACACCAAGATCTATCACACGCAACTATCTCTTCTTACCAATCTTACACTGATTCCATGATTCAGTGTGACACAACACACACTGATGAGAATCTAAAGATCTTTGCTGATGGTTAGATCAAAACACCAAGATCTATCACACACAACTATCTCTTCTTACCAATCTTACACTGATTTCGTGATTCAGTGTGACACAACACACACTGATGAGAATCTAAAAATCTTTGCCGATGGTTAGACCAAAACACCAAGGTTTATCACACGCAACTATCCTTCCTTTACCTTCTTCTCATTCATTGTCTAATGATTCAGTAAGATAAACCTCTCACTGATAAAGACACAACACTCTGTGCTGATGGTTAGATAATGCAACTAGTATTTATCACACGCACCAATCTCCTTGCTAGCCCCAACCGAGCAAGTTGTACCTTGAATTGACGAAGAGATATCCTCAGCATGTGACTTTTGTGACACTGATCTTAGTGCTTCCGCAAACACTAATTGACGTTTCATCTTCAGTCAACAGCTCTTTTACCCAACGGCTATTTTTTGATCTGACAGGTTGTTACGATACGCTGTTATTTTTGAAGAAGATAATCATTACCTTTTCTAAAAGACCCGTTTCATTCCATATTTAAACCTCTTTCTACCCTTATTTCAAACTTTCCTTCCACAATCTACACTTCCTTCACTTATATTCAAAACCCTAGCACCCTAAAAACTCTCTAATGGTGGCATCTCTGTTCACTTTCTCCTCTACTTCACGAAGGGTAGTCCCTACCCCAAACTCTCCTCCTCTTCGAATATACATCAAAGCCACCAACATTGTTTTCAACCTTGATATTCCCGATGTTCATCGAGGTCTTGGACTCGATGATTTTGTTAATTTCTTAGCCTCCTGCCGCCTGCGATACGCTATCAGTGACATTCCATCAGAGTTCTTCCCTGAACAAGTCTGTGAATTCTACTACACCGCAACAGTCAATGATGAAAACAATGTCATCACCGGGACCATTGGCCATGGAAGACACTCTGTCTTTATTACCGCAGAACTTCTCAGTGCTGCACTCAGGTTACCTATCTTTGAACCATTCTCTGAACTTCCTTCTATTGAACGCTGTCGACGTCTATTCGATCAACTGGGATATGATCACTCAAAGGCTGGTGCTCAATCAACTCTTGTTCTGCGCCAATGTATGACCCCAGGATGGAAGTTCTTCACCGGTGCTCTGTGCAAATGTGTGGGTCACAAGTCTCGAAGTGGTGATCAACTGAGCACCTATGAGCAACAAGTTGTCTGCTCACTACTTTTCAACAAAAGACTTGATTATGGGGCCTTTTTATTTGATCAACTTGTTCAGCTTCTTCATGCAAATGTACACGCTGATCACGTTCCCTTCCTACACTGGATTACTCTTATGCTCGATAAATTTTTTGCTGCAGATTACTTCTCGCACTCTGGAAATCCTATTCAATGCCCTCGCATGTGAATTCGCATGTATCAAGATGATCCGCTGGATACTGACATCGGAATATCTGATAGGATGAGGGAATGGATTGCAAACCCATACACTGTTCCTTCGCTCACCGCTGATATTGATGAAGGAGTAGCTGATGGTAACCATGAAGATCCTGCTGGTCAAGAGGATGAACCATATGATGGTGGTCATTTCTCTCCTCAACTTTCTCATCATATCGTCTCTGTTACTGAGAAAGTTCCCTCAACTCAAAAGGATTCACTGATTCAAGGGGAGCAACAATTTCAGGGGGAGCAACAATCTCAGGGGGGAGCATCCCTCATAGGGGGAGAATCCACCCCAAGGAGACTACTCTTCTCCGGGGATGCCACCACACTCACACGTAGCTCCAGGTACTTCATTCGTTTAAATTCCAGCCTCAGCGTTTAATGAACTTCTGACACTGACTCGAGACATGAGTTAGCATCTTCTACGCATTGAGGCTGATGTTCATCAGCTTAAGGAAGTTCTCTTGCATACTCCTTCCTCCAGCCCTCAATCTGATGATGCTAAAAAAGGGGGAGATACTAATATTGATGATGATGATGATGATGATGATGATGATAATGTTGATGATAATGCTGATCATGATAATGATGATGAAAATCCAAAAGAGAAAGACACTGAACATGTTGACAACTCCTTAGTTCAGACTGAGCCACCAAAGCAGATGCCCGAGTCTGACTTTGTGAAGCCTAATAGTCCAGCAGATACTGAAAAGCGTGTTGAAGACAGTGAGCATAATGATGAACAAGATGATGAATGTCAAGTACTGGATATGAACTTCATTGATCCCTTTATTCCAATTCAAGAAGAAGATTCAGATGATCTTGATACTGAATCGCAAAGGCCAGACATGAAAGTCGTTGATCCCACTGTTGATCCCATTATTTTGGTCCAAGGAGAAGATTCAGACGTTGCTAGTGAAGATTCTCATCCGTTATCTCGCAATCGAAAGGTAGCAGATACTGACTTGGCTCATTCACACACTGATACTTATTTGTCTTGCAAGAAGCCCAAGTCCATAGTCAGTATATCAAATTTGGCGGCTGAATGGAATATATCTTCTGATCAAGTTAAGAAAATTCTTGATGAAGCTAATCAAGCTCAACTTCTAAAGAACATTGCTCAAGCTGATGAATCTCTCATTCAGCATAAACTTCAGGCCAAAAGGATCTTTTGAAGCTTAGATGCAGAAATTCTTGGAATTTCAATCCAAATCTCAATCTTCTCAGCCTCCTCCTAGCAGCAGTAAGCCGAAGACTGACAGTGTTCTAGACAGGATTGATCGAAAGAGGTTTGAAGATGTTCTTAAACGACGAGTGTGTGGTGATAAGATCATCAAAGTTAAATCTTCCAAACCACGCAATGAGAAAATTCTTACGTTATTGATCACTCGTCAAGGTCCACAACATTCATATACTGAAGTTGTCAAGAGGGATGAGCTGATCAAATATGGATATTCTGAATGGATGGAATTACTCGAATTAGCGTCCAAGCAAACCTCAGCTCACTCCTCTGAACTGACATGTGCTCTTCATCTGCTGATCAAGAAAGTTCAACGTTTGGACCTTGTTCCTAAAGAACGACCTCAGCATCAAGGCCAAAGGTCATCTGTTCTTAGAACTCGAAGAACAAAATTTCAAGTTGATTGTGAAGACGTGTTGGTTCTGGACTCTGGTGCTGGTGGGATAAACAATTCTCTTCCTATCAGTGTTGACCCAGTTCAACATAAATTTATCTCAGTTCCTGAACACGGGATGTTTTATCTTGATAAAAACAGAAAGTTGTGTTTTCAGCGAACTGCTAAGATCCCAAAGGCTCCAACCACTCATCTCGTTGGCTTAAGGCAAATGTGCATGAGTCATTAAGATCTCTCCGTAGAGTTTCATATCCTTATCGCCATGGAGCTGCTGAATAGAAGACAGGAGTTGCTGGATAGTCCTTAGTGGCTAGTAAAAATAGAAGCTGAAGCTGAGTATGAAGAGTTCTTGTCCAGAGGTGTTTTAATTTAGTTGGTTTTTAACATCATCATATTGGGGGAGATTGTAAGGTCAAACCTTGAAATATGATGATGTTTTAAATAGATCTCAGTGTCAGCATCAGCGTGTCAGCATCTCAGCTTGTTTAGTTTAGTCAGTGCATTGTAACAGATTTTATACTTATCATGTTTCCATAGTTAGCTTAAATTAGTTAGCTGGCATATCCCTGATTTGTAGGGATTTTCTAGAATAGTAGTATATAATCTTTTATATCGGTTTGTGAAAGGTTACGCCTTTCACAAACCCTAATCGCTGCTTTGTGCACATGATAATCTCTTTGTGAGATTATCTTTCTTAGTGAAAGTTTTTCTTCGTGAATTCTTCTTATTCTTATTTACTGTTATTGTTTGATAAATTGATTGATCTAAAGGCCTTTTCACCGTCTGCACTCTAACGACCGACATTCAGACCCGCAGAAAGAATTGACCCACTACTGAGTACCATCAATTCCACCAATCGTTGGTATTCCCTGTTTTTCTTTTGAGCTTTTGATGGGTTGGGTCTCCACGTTTTTGAAAAAAAAAAGGCCAATAGGCTCAATGAACTGGTTAGGTGTACCAATATATCTCGACACAGATAGTTTTGTTAGGTTGTGTACTTGTGATTTTAAGCTTACTCGAAACCACATGTAAGTTTGATTAAATGCTGAAAATTTGCATACTAGGTGTTTTTTAGGTGTTTGTTAAAAGTTCTCAGTGAACTTTTTTAAGTTTAGGCCCTAAAAAGTTGTTATTTCTCTATTCTCAATCTCTTACATCTAGTTTTTTCTCTATACATTCAGCCTTATAAATCCATTCCACTTACTTTATATACCCATTCACATAAGTTTGATGCTTCGAAGCTGATATGCATTTGCAGGCTGGATATTGTGATGATGCTGAAGTTGTTTATAGTTTCCTTGATACAAATAAAATTGGCGAGATACATTCCATCTTTGTATGCCTGTTATCTTTACACATTCCATCTTATCATATATTTGTTTCTTTCTTCATATATCTTACTTTACAATACGAATGCTCAACCGATTGAGAGCTAAAGTCAGCGTACAAGAAGCTTTTTGTTCGTTCAATAAGTAGACCAAAAGCCATTGAAGTATGTTCTTTGATTTTTCTATTTTGTTGAAGTGTCATATGATATGTTTGTATTGATGTTAAAGATCCAAAATCATTAGGAGGAATCAATGTATACTCGTCAACCTACCAGAAGCTTTGGAACCATCTTGGCTCGAGTAGACAGTGGTGAGAATTTCTTAAGGAGTATATGCGAAAAAATCTTTTTCTTTCTATTACTAATATACTAATTTTTTTCTAAACTTCTAGGAAACCGCCCTCTGGAAAGTTTCGAAATAGCTAGAAAAAGATAAAAACAAGAAGGGTGAGAAAATGATATAACATGTTTGATTATTATTTCAAAGCAGTTAGCACATACATTGTGATAAAAACTCTTTTTGATAGGGCTGTTGCATCATTCAAGGTTTATAAAGAGACTACGGGTAGGAGCTCAATGCAACAGCAGTTGGAATCGTCAAAGCCAGAGTTAAAAAACTGGAATACTCTTGGAGGAAGAGTTGATAGAAATAAAGAGAATAATGTGATTCCTGCCAAGTGGACATCACATAAGGTATTATTAATTTATTATTCTCTTTATTTAAATTTTCATAAATTGTTCATTGAATTATATTTCCTACAAATTGAATTATATTTCGTTCAAATTTCTGATTCCACAGAGACCTGTTGCTAGAACTGTTGCCCCTGCCCCTGCCCTGCCTTGTATTGAAGTTTTCTTGGATGAAGAATGCTTAGGGTCGGTAATTATTAATTATTTTCTCTTTATCCTTTTGCTACTTAATCAATTATTAAAGAATTACCAAAAAATCACTCTAGGACTCTCTTTTATGGTGTATTATACATTTTGAAATTTGAACGAAAAGACAAGTAAGATAAGATGTTGTGACAAGTTATTATTTTTATCTTGTCACTTGAAGAGTTAATTAGTCGAGTCCTGGAAAATAAGACATGGGTATGTAAGCAAAAAAGAAAACTATTTTTAAAAATGTATTTTCATTAAATCTTTTACATTTGTGATTAATTTTTGAATGATTTGCCAACGAATGGAGTTGTTATATCGTGTCAAATTGTACACCATATTCTATTATGTTTCTATTTTTAGCAACATATTTTGTTTATTTGTTTATTACATTTATTGCAATATACTTTCATTTCTTTATGCAGAAGCTGGTGTTCGACAACAATTATAAGACTTCAAAAATGCTGAAGCCCATGTAGGAAATGGAAATCAAATATGACGAACTTATCAACAAAAGGAGTTAAATTTCATTTTTCAATCTTGACAAACAAGACTGTCTATTCACATTGCTCTACAACTAGAACAAGGGTTGCAAAGGTAAATTGACAAACAAATGGAAAAACTAAATTAAGTATTTTATTAATTCCATATTAAACAAAAGTTTTGTAATTTCTTTTCAAGTAGGAAAAGGCTTATCAAATAACAATAAAGCCGCGAAACTTGCTTACCAACATTGGCTCGAGGATGTAAGTGAATTAATTAACCACAAATACTTTGATTTATGATTTATGGTACTCAATATATAATTTTTATATAATTACTAATTAATAATCAGTATTAAGATTATTAGTTTTACATAGTATAACCACCACCAGCAGCATCAAGACTGCACCAACACAAAAACAAATGTTTTTATGTATTTTCATTTTTTTTGGGCATGTGGACAATGTGTATAGTTATGAGAACCTGATCTGCACCTTTTAGCAACCACAAAAGATGAAATGAAAGCTGAAACTACTGCCTAAGAAGCTATATACATTTGACATGGTTTAAGGTTCTTTTTGTGCTCTCTGTAGACGTGGATTTTCCATCTTGTGTGAAGTCAACGAAGAAGACAAAGGTCGGGTCCGCTGCTTGGTGTAGAGATTTCTATTTTGGTGGTATCGTCTTACTACCCATGGTGCCTAATATAGTCGTAAAATTGATTTGTTAGAAAAGGTTAGCAATCAACATAATCTATTCAAACGATGCCCTCCAAGTGTTTGTGAAAATGCCAATATCATTATTTTTTATTAATATTTTGTGTGGCTGAGGAATCCAAAAATCCGTCTATAATTGATGACTATTTATTTGATTTTTTTTATTTAACAAATCTCTTATGCTCTTTGTCCTTTTTGACATATACATGTGTTACATCAAAACTTTTGAAGTTGTTCATGACCTAATTCTATTATTATGATGTTGTTTCTTAGGTATTATCCTGACAAGAATGCAATTGATCCTAAAACAACTAATATGTTGAATGAGATAACATGTTCCTACAACATTTTATCAAATCCTACAACGTATTATAGATCCTTAATGAGTTGGCCAAATTTTAAATGGGTTGAAAGTTGAGATAAAAATTTTGAAATGATTTTTATTCTGATATATTTTAATCCGTTTTTAAGTACTTTTGTCTTATCTTCGTATCCGACCTCATATTTAGGCATGCGCCAGCCGGTTGGGAAGTGGTATTACTCCAACACTTCATTCTTTGCACAGTAATTATGGTGAGACAGTGTACAATTAGAATATTTGGGTTTTCACAAGCTTAAAAGTCAAAACATCAATAACGTACATATTTATAATAATTTTGATAAAAAAAAAATATATTATGTATATGAAGAAGTTGTTATGTAATCTGGTTATGACTTATTACAATGTAGGAAGAGCTGGAAGACATCAGCAGGTATGGGTCAAAGGAATTATTTGTTGATGAGAAATGAGAATGATGAGGATATGAAATGAAGAAAAATCCAATACCATGATGCTGCAATAGATAGGTATATAACGTAGATATATACTTATATATGTTTATATTTTTCCTGATTAAGCTCATTATATAAAAAAGAAACAACTCTAAATGGTTTGTTATATATATATTTTTTTTTCTCAAAAAAGTTATAATATCTTCTTCTAACAATTTGTAACCCTTGAGAATTTGATAGATAGCTTAACTCTAGCTACATTGAAGAAAAAAAGAAAGGCCTATACACAAAGTCACACATCTACACACAATTAGAACCAACAAAACATCGACATACTATCACAAAAATATACTCCAAAGAAATCTGGAATTACGGGCAAAGTGGATGGAGCCAAAATTCATAACAGACAAAGGGGAAAGGTAAAGAAAACAGGTAATGTGGAGTGGGGAAGGCTATAAGTATGAAGTTTATTGTTTTCCTTATAAATCATATTGTCTTTTAATAACAAACAACTTATATATAGAAATTCTCTAGGTATTGGGAACATATACAAGAAATGCTAAAGTTCTTTATAGGAGAGATCGAACATACAAAAGTTGAGGGGAACTTAAAGTGAGTTACCTTTCAAATTTAAGTTGTATCTCTTTGTAGACAAATACAACCCGTAAAAGAATGATTAAAAAGGAAAAAATATATAATTATTATTTTTAAAGGTAAAATGGAAAAAAGTTGTTTCAATTCAACCGTGTTTTTGGTCCAACTTGTACTCAAGGTAATAATAAAATTCAAAAGAACCTTCTGTTGACTAATGTTTTGACTTTTATCAGAGGATGTTTTTGCTGACAAAAGAAAAAAAACGAACATAGTGCCAACGGGCGCGCATGACTCCTATCTAGTTAAGTATTATATGTTAAAAGTTTAAAAACATAACTTTATAACTAAAAGTAAACAAATTATTTTAATATTGAAATTTAGTTTATGTATGATTATACTTTAGATTTTATATTTATTTAAAGTAATTAACTAAATTATAATTATTATCAGAAAGAAATTAAAAAGTCATAGGAGTTTCAAATGAATATGGTGAAAGGAAAAATGTATGGTAGTTTCAAATGAATTTGGTGAAAGGAAAAATGGTAGCTTTATAAGTATATAATGAAATGATGATAATGATATATATATATATATATATATATATATATATATATATATATATATATATATATATATATATATAACATCCCCATTTTCACAGCCAGAAAAGACCGATTTTGTTTATGCTTTATAAAAATCATAGTTCTTTTAATAAAAATGTTGCGGAATTTGTTCGCAGAAAAACATGATAAATACATTATTAAAACATTTCCGAAGAAACGTACTTTATTCATTTTAAAACGTTTGGGATGTCATCGTCAATACAGGAACATAAGCATAAACAGAACTTACATTTATTTACACTAGTGATCTACATCTATTTAAATCTCTCAGTGTAAAGTGACTTCGTATCAACACCTATGATATAAATAAACTGAGTGGGTCAGGTTGGGAAACTTGGTGAGTACATAGGGTTTTCAACCCACAATAATATAATTATTATGTTTAAACAATCAAACAATCAACCCAATTACCCATCCCCATTATCTTTTTTAGTTTTAAGGATCTACCCTAAGAATCAGCTATTCCTCGTTTATTTATTCCTAAGGATCATCCTAAGGAATCGACACGAAGTCCATCATTACCAAGGCTTATAGAATATATCTGGTGAACACGTGGTCCGAAACATCTGGTAAACACTTAGTTCAAAAGTAACTAGTGAACACACTTAGTTCAAAATACCTAGTGAACACACTCAGTTCAAAGATACGTAGTGAACACACTCAGTTCAGAAATACCTAATGAGCACCTATTTCAAAAATAACTACATGTTACGAACCTGCTATTGTTCCACTGGACCGTCTAGTATCGTCCATAGTCGTCATGTATACTCCACTAGATGACTGGATCACTGACAACACTGATGTCTCCCATCGTGTTATCACAAAACAACTATTTCATCTACCCATGTTTTACCCAACACATTTTGTAGATATAAAATACATATACAGTTTAAATCATTTAAAACATGTATAAAAATCTTTCACCCAGCATACACAGCAAGTATTCAGACAATATGCACACACAGCACATAATTTATATTAAAATACTTCATATCTATGTGTAAGATGAAAGGGAACTATGCACTCACAACACGTAAATTATATAATAAATACTTCATATCTATGTGTAAGATGAAAGGGACCATGCACTCACAACACGTAAATTATATAATAAAGACTTCATATCTATGTGTAAGATGAAAGGGACCATACACTCACTTGAAAAGGTGGTGATTCCGAACTCAGACAGTGCTTCACTTCTTGGAAAATAATTTCCTTCGACGAAACCTAGTATTATCACCACTAGATTTTAGTCTAATTTTTACCGTGACTAATTATTAGTCTAGCTATTATTACTATTATATAAGCGTTAAAAAAATACTTATATAACCCATAATAATAGCCCAAGTATTTATTATAAGTTCCTAATAACGTTACTATAATTAAATAAAAGCTATATTAAAAATAGCGTAGGCGTAGTTCACTTACAACGGGTTTTATAGAAAACCAGGCTTTGCTTGGAGCAACGCTTCCGAGCTTAAAATCTCTTCTTCTCAGAGCCGTCGAGCACTCCGGGGCTTCCGCCTCGTGCTAGGGAGGTTCCCTAGGCTTTTCAGGGGATTTCAAGGCTAGAGAGAGGTTCTAGAGAGAGAGAGAGTAAAGAGAAGAAAGAATGGGAAATGTGTGAAGAAAATGAGGGTGGGAGAGGTGGTATTTATAGGGTGAAAATGGATGAACTTGGTGCCACATGTCACCATCTAGTGGCAAGACTTGGGGAGAAAGCAATGGCCAAGATTGTGCCACATCACCCATTTTCGCACATCACACTTCCGACTTCTAAAATCCGTAACATTCACATACGACCTCTGTTTTTGACGTTCTTTATATCCACGCATAGGTAAAAATAATATCTACAACTTTCGTTTTGACTCCGTCGGCTAATTCTCGACCGATCTTAAATTTAACAGTACGAGGCGTTTAGACTGTTAAATGACCGCGGAGAATTCGTAACTCCTTCATACGGACTCCGTTTTCATCTGTCTTTTTACTGTTGAGTTCCTATTAATGAGATCTTCAACTCTCATTTAGGTCGCATAAGCCAAAAACTGCTCGAACTAAAATTCGAGTTTCGAGGAGTACACTGCTAAGCCGAATCTTAGAAAAATCATAACTTATTCATACGAAGTCAGATTTGGGTGTTCTTTTTATGGATTTTCTCAGTTTAACATGTTCTACGACTTTCGTTTAGATCAATAAGGCTAAATCTCGCTCTATCGTAAATTCACTTTTTACGCTTCCCGGTGCCGTGTTGGTTCCGTCGCGAAACTTCAACGAGTCATAACTTCTTCGTTGTAACTCGGATTTCGGTGTTCTTTATATGTACGGACACCTTGTGACATATACTACAACTTGGTTCAAATTATTTATTCTAAATAATATTTTGTCGAAAAGTCATTTTCGACCCCTATTATCTCTAAATTGACTAGTCCGGATCAACGGGCGTTATAATTATCTCCCCCTTAGGATGATTACGTCTCGTAATCATCAACGAAACAGGGCAGTATAATGACTCCATACATTATCTCTTCATCCTAGGTAGTAACTGTAACTTCTATGTTGCTTCGAACGGGTATCTAACTCTTGGACTCCTTGATTGCAGGCGGTGCTTGGTCTTGCACTTGCTCGTTAGACTTTCAATCATGACCTTCGTGTCACAAGCTCATTCTTTATCAGAGACACCTCCCTTTTTCTTAGGACAAGTTAATTTGATTGCTACAATTGATTGATGTGTCATATTCTAATGACCTATTATCGTACGTAACAACGCTTAGACTCAGGTCTCTTAGAGTCAAATTCCGGAATGAAATATGCCTTCCTTCATGGTCTAATGTGATATAATCACATTTTAACATGTAGCATTTCTAGCTACCAACATTTTTTTAACAACGAGCGCGATACTTCTATTGATCTCTTTGATTTCAATCGTTTGGTTTAAGTCGGACGCTACATCAAACTTGGTTCTCTGAACCAGGTAACCTACTCATCGTAGTCGGACTCAATGTGATATGACCACTAGGGTCGGGATAACAACAATTTTATTAGTCATTACCGAAACAATGGTAACGACATACTTGAATAAAACGAAATCAATTACTAGCTTCTTGGTAGCCTTGTGACTTTCCCTGATCCAAGCGTGAGTCATGTGCTTCCGGTAGTATATGCATCTACTACCTTTCACACCTACTCATACTCGTCCCAAGTATTGTCTCGCAGTTTTCCAAGTCACCATTCAAGAAAATACATAACAGTTTAACACACCAGATAACAAAACGAAGATTTTATTATTTCTTGAAACTATTACATAGGTGTTCAAGTTCACCCTAGACTATGCCTCTAATAGGCTACATCATATGGTTCTATCTCTTTGGCTACCTCATAGCTTGATCTTCGGATATGAATTCCTCATCCTTGGTTCCTCGCATTGTTTTCTGCTTCGTCGAGGATCATGTGGAATGCCCTTGGCCTCGGTGGCGTTTCTAGTCTTGCTACTTTATTTTTCTTTGGGCAATTCCTTGAAAGATTCCCCCCTTCTTTACAATCATAACACAACCTCTTGTTGGATGTACACTCATTGGCGTAATGCCCAGACTTTCCACACTTGAAACATGTCACCTCTTCGCCGCATTTTCCAAAGTTTTTCTTCTTGCATTTATCACACCATCTTGAAACATGAAATCTTCAATTCTCATTTAGGTCGCATAAGCCAAAAACCGCTCGAACTAAAATTCGAGTTTCGGGCTGTAAACTGCTAAGCCGAATCTTATAAAAATCATAACTTCTTCATACGAAGTCAGATTTGGG